AAAAAAAAAAAAAAAAAGATATAACTTACAATACTGGTCTTTTGAATAATTTTTAATGGAAGTTATACTCATCAAATGTAAAATAGTTCATTATTTTTAGAATATGGCTAAAGTTGCTCTTTATTTTATTGACTTAATTTACAGCTTTAACTTCACTTTAAAAAGTGTTTATGAGATTGATTTCAGTAATGAAACTAAAATCGCATTTAATAGTTATTTTTGAGACAAACAAACTCTGAAGTTGAAGTGTACAGTTAACGTGCATCAAAGTGCCTTCCGCTGTGTTTTGCACTTTGTATGTCTCACTGGTTACAGATGTATAAATGGAAACTTGGGGCTTGGCACAGTGTCCAGATCAGTGTTGAAGAAGCTTGTCTCAGACACACTGATTTCCAAGTTGATTCATTCAACAATATTAACAGCCTCTGATTTGTACCAGATACTATTAGAGATGCTAGAGATTTACCAGTGACTAATAACAATGCTAAACACAGTGGCATATTCTAGAATTTCAGCTCTTTCGGAGCTTGAGGCAAGGAGATTGCAAGTTCAAATCCTACCTGGGCAACTTAGTAAGACTTTGTCACATAATTTAAAAAATATTTAAAAGAGACTGGGATATAGGTCAGTGGTAGTAGAATACCTCTGGGTTTGATCCCAGCATACCATTTAAAAAAAGATGAAAATGTTTGTCTTCATGAAGTTTACACTATAAATGAACAGAGAATGTATTTATTGTGTATAATAGCTAACATTTGTTGTTTTCTATGTGCCAGATACTGTGTGAACTATTTTGTACGTAATGCCTTATTTTATCCCCTTGAGACCCCAGTGAGATTGATAGGCTCTCCACCTTACAGACAAGGATACAGCCACAGATGGAGTAACTGGCTGTAGTCTTCCAGCTTCACACAGGACAGCTAATGTAGTTCTAACAGTATATTAATACTAGATTTCTTGAGATGTGCATTTTTGGCAGTTCCTGAGATATAAAATTCCTAGGGTTATAAAAAATACTTCGTTGCAAAAATTTTGATTGATTTGGCTCATCCACAGATACAGGATGAATTTTATATCAAGTTTGTCACTGTGTCTTTTATTTTTTTTATTTTTATTTTTTTTTGGTTTTGGTTTTTCTCCGGTACTGGGAACCGAACTCACGACCTTGCACTTGCCAGGCAGGCGCTTTTGCCGCTGAGCTAAATCCCCAGCCCCTAATGTCACTGTGTCTTATTGATAATAGTATGTAAATAAAACAATTTAAATGTACAAGTTGGTATTGGATATATTTCTCTTTTGCTGCAATATTTTGTCAATACCAGATAGAAACTAGGAGCAAGAGTTTCTCCACAACTTGGCATAAATAGTATTTAAAGTTTTATAGTTATGTAAGTAGCATTTTACTTTTTAGAATATGCTTATAGTACATACTTTTCATTTAAACATTTTTTTTTTTGAGACAGGGTCTCGCTCTGCAGTTCAGGCTGGCCTTGAGCTCACTTCGTAGCCCAGGCTCACTTTGAACTCGCAAAGATCCTCCTGCCTCAGCCTCCTGAGTGCTGGGATTACAGGTGTGCGCCACCACACCCGGCCCTTACTTTCCATTTAGAAAGTTCAAGTTTTTTGCCATTTTTCATTTATTAGAATGCATAAATGTTCTTTAATTTGTTACAAACTCTGTTTTTCTTACCAGCTTTCAATAAAGATCTAAGGACAGATTCTAGGAATTGACTTTAAGTTCCTCTGATTTGCCTTCCAGACTCAGAAACGCCGAGAGAAAGTCCAAGCGAAGACTCCTTGCTGGAATGGCTGCACAACTTCCGTCTTACTGGCAATGCGACTCGCAGTGGACAGAACGGGAACCAGACTTGGAGAGCTGTGAGTCGGACAAACCCAGCCAATGGAGAGTTTCGGTTTAGTCTGGAAATCCACATAAATCATGAGAATAGAGGATTTGAGATTCCTGGGGAAGATGACATGGGCATTTTGCATACAGATATTATCAGAGATCGGACTAGGCAACAGAGATCAACTAGTCCTGTGGCTAGGAGAACCAGAAGCCAAAGCTCAGTGAATTTCAGTGGTAGTAATTCCAGCATTCCACGGACTAGGCGTGGGTCGAGGAGGCAGAATTCAGTCGAGGGATCACCCTCGACACTGGGAAGGTTAAGAAATAGAACTGGGAGAACAGCTGGTGTTCCTAGAAGTGGTGCTTCACACGTTAACTCTGGTAGTCAAGCAGGTCGGTCAGGTGGTAGCGAACTCAGGCAAAGGGAGGGGCAGAGATTTGGCGCAGCACACATTTGGGAAAACGGGGCTAGAAGTAACGTCACAGTGAGGAATACAAACCAAAGATTAGAGCCAATAAGATTGCAGTCCACTTTTAGTAGCCGGAGCCGTTCACCAATTCGGAGACAGAGTGGCACTGTTTATAATTCCCCAAGGGAAAACAGACCTTCCCGGCAAACTGTTCGGAGGTCTGTGAGAACAGGTATAACTCAGGTCTTTTTAGATCCAGATAGAGAACACAGAGGCACTGCATATTCCCAATTCTCTAATTCAAGACTTGTGTCAAGAATAACAGTAGAAGAAGGGGAAGAGTCCAACAGATCCTCACCTGCTACACAACGGCATCCAACAATCACACTGGACCTTCAAGTAAGAAGGATTCGTCCGGGAGAGAACAGGGATCGGGATAGTATTGCCAGCAGGACCCGATCTAGAGCAGGGTTAGCAGAAAACACAGTCACTATAGAAAGCGACAGCGGGGGCTTTCGCAGAACGATTTCCCGTTTAGAGCGGTCAGGCGTCCGGACCTATGTTAGTACTATAACAGTTCCCCTTCAAAGGATTTCTGAGAATGAGCTTGTTGAGCCATCCTCAGCGGCTCTCCGGTCAATTTTTAGGCAGATCATGACTGGGTTTGGAGAGCTGAGTTCTCTAATGGAGGCTGAGTCGGAGTCAGAGATGCAGAGAAACGCTCAGCATTTGCCGGGACTGGGTAGTTCAGGTCCCGTTGGTGGCAGCAGCCAGCAAAGGGGAAGCTCCTCTCGACACAGGCGAGCGCAGGGAGACCGCGCCGGACCGCTAGGTGGAAATGAGTCCGCCCAGCCTCGTAACAGGGGCAGCGGCCGCAGAAGCAGTAGGCAGGTGCGAAATTCAAACAGTTTCGTAGAAAATGGAACACTGCCTATTCTTCGCCTTGCTCACTTCTTTTTATTAAATGAAGGTGATGATGATCAAATACAAGGTTTAACCAAAGAGCAGATCGACAATCTCTCCACCCGGAACTATGAGCATAGTGGTATTGACGGTGAAGTGGGTAAAATCTGTAGCGTTTGTATCACTGACTATGTAACGGGAAACAAGCTCAGGCAGTTGCCCTGCATGCACGAGTTCCACATTCACTGTATTGACCGGTGGCTGTCCGAGAATTGCACTTGCCCCGTGTGCCGGCAGCCTGTCTTAGGAGCCGGTGCAGCAAACAACGGGTGACATGGTGGGGTCTATTCAAACACTGTATTTTAATAGAGCTGAGTGTTCAAACATTCTTTTGTTGAGTTGTAATGAGCTAACCAGGATGAAAAATAAGATTCTAGTTCAAACTATTTTTTTGTGTGCTTTTTTAACTTGTTAAAAGAGAAGAATTTATATAAATTTAAAACAAAAATGTTAAATTATCCAAAAGTATAGGATAGTTACTATTGCTAGAACCAAATAATCTTTAAAATGTTTTTATTTTGGTAATTTTGTCATGCTGAGCATTTTTCTATCTGCACAATTCAATGAGTTAAAAAAATCTTGCCCTTTTCTTAATATTACAGCAGACTTTACTTGGGTTTTTAAGTTTCATAAGCTTAGTACTGTATCTAGACATTCATGTCTAAGCCTTTCAAAGAATGTTTGGCTGAATGTTTACTATGTATATTTAAGTTACCTGAAATGATAAATTAATATGCAGCATACCATATGTGTATATATAGATGTATAATTTTAAGGTTAAAATATCCTGTCTAAAAACTACAAGTTTGACTCTTATTTAAGCTTTTGGGCTAATACTGCGTATGGCACAATGTTTAATATTGACAAGATCATCTCTGAAAGTAGATTAAGATATAATTTTGAAATAGAGGTAATTTACTGAAGCGTCTCTGACAATCTGATTTATTAGCAAGCAATATGTAATACTGAATGAGTATTTATTCAGAAATGGAACGTTGGAAAATTAGAATACAGATTATTTAATTTGGAGTTAAATTTTTTTTTGAAACATGCAAAAATTTCATTGGGTTAAGTAAGGTATACAGTATGCATGGTTTCTCAAATTCAGTTTAAAAAATCTAAAAAGAAATAAGTCTACAGAATCCAATGCATAGATGATACATTAAGTTCACTTGGAGACCAAATAACTCCAAATAATGTGAAAGAGAAAACCTTAAGAGAATGTAGAATTTATCTAAACACAAAGTATGCATTGAAGATCTATTTCTACCAATAAATACTAAAACAAAGACCGTGTGAGCTATTTTGTTGTTGTTTCGTAGTGGCATATTCATTCCCTGGGTTTTTATTTCAGTACTGGGCATTGTAGGTGTGGTAGGTGTTGAGGTTTCACCCTATAGCAGACAGTCCCCATCTTCATGGAAAAGGTACACTTGCTCTTAGAGGGTAAAAAATCAATTGATGAGTTACAGTTCCTCCTTTCATGTTTGCTTGTGAACATATAACATGGTTTTCTTGTGCTGGTACTGCTTGGACAAAATCACTTGACCTTAGCCAAAAGGCCAAAAAACGATTGGGCAAAATCATAAGAACAATACCTCAAGGCCAGACTCTGAGATTTAGGAATATTTCCCATTTGGTTTTTCTTTCTGCTTAGTGATTATATTTAATTCATTAAATTAGTTTGTTAGGGGGTGCATTTAACACCAAGTAAAGGTTTTTGTAAGGGTTATAACCTTGGGGTAAATAATTAATGTGGGTCAGTTTTGGAGCACAGGACTGGTTGATTTGGGTCTGATTTAATGGTTTTACCCATCAGACTAAGGATTTTTTATTTTACCAAACAGATGTTAGGTAATTAAAATCATTCCTTGATGATTTTAGTGGCTAATAGTGAGGTCATTTTCTATATTCCACTTAGACTGGTCTGGTACAGCCTCCTGAACACAATGAACAGGAGAGAAATGGGAAGCAAAGACTCTCGTGAAAGAACTAGTGTGATTAAACATCATTATCAGTCATTATCATCACCACCATCGTTGTCATCACTAGTTCACATTGGATGATGACAATGAAACTGGAAGAAAAAACTGGATGTCGGAATGTTTTTTAATAAAGGATCTTTGGTCTCCAGTATAAGGAGGTCGAAAGTTACGAAGTCACAGAGGAAGGGAGAGCCACTGAGTGCAGGAGGGGTACGGACACGAATCTCGGTGTAAAGGATGCCAATGTAAACATCTTATGCAGGGCCTTCTCCATACATCTTGCACACGTTTCCGTGTTAGCATTTGTTCCCGATAGGTTGAGAGACTAAATTTAGCATTTATTTCTCATATGGGATATTCTTTAGAAAAGCCTAGCTCCCCTGATCCAGTCAGGAATACTCGGAGGACAAATAGAGAAGGAAATGCAAATAAAGTAGGACTAGGAATAAAAGTGTGGATTCTTTGTTTGACTTGGTCCTTTACAAGATGTGACAGTGTTAACAAATATCAGACGAGATCCCAAACAGGCACGTGACACAGAATGAGGATGTGTACTGTATGGAAAATCCCGACAGCGGCAGCGCAACTTAATGAACTTTATGCTTCGGCATCCCCGTCAAGAAGAAGGGTTTTCTTTAATATATGCATTTGTTTCCCAGTAAACAAGGCTGGTAGATACAAAAGCCCATTAATCTATTTGTAGCTTCTATTTAGCAGTGATTGTCCCCTTTGTTGTTCTAATATAGAAAGAAACAAAAGGTTTGAAATGCTTGACTTGAATATGATGTTCCATGTCAGGTCCACAGAGCTTGTTCTTTGTAGTGTGACTGCCTTGCAGACTTCTATTTTGAGATTGCCAGCTTCCCAGCTGCTCTCCCATGAGTTTATGTTTTTTATCCTGTTTTATTGTTTCCCAGTTTTTTCTAGTTGCAGCTAGTATTGTTTTATATTCCTTGCTAGTAGGTTCCTTTACCGTATAAATTTTTTTTTTTTTTGAGACAAGGTCTTGCTAAGTAGTCCAGGCTGGCCTTGAACTCACTATGTAGCCCAGACTGGCCTTGTACTTTAGGCAGTCCTCCTGTCTCAGATTACAGGCATGTGCCACCACGCTTGGCTTAATATTGTTATGATCTTTGCTGTGTTGCTTTTTCTTTTTTTTGGTACTGGGAACCAGACTCAGGACCTTATGCTTGCCAGGCAGGTGCTGTTCCACTGTGCTATATCCCTGGCATGATCCTTACTCTGAAATCATTTTTAGTTTATGTTCATTTCAGTATTTAATGTGGGTTCATACCTTAAACCAACATCTTGAAGTATTGTCACTTAATGTAGTAGTTGGCAGAGTTCAAAGAATAACTTACTACATAGCCGTTTACCTCCAAAGCTTGCACTTTTCTCTACACTGTGTTCTGGAAAAGCAGAAATGCTGCCCTATTTTCTTTTTCTTGAAGATATTTTTCAAATTGTATAACTTTGTTATATCAGTTCTTTGTAATTACCGTAATTTCCACATGCAAATAATCTTCTGTGTCTCATGAATGGAGAAATGGACCTTGTCTGAAAGATAGAAAGCAGAGTCTGGATGATGAATCCAGGCGCAGATGGAATAGGTGTTGGAGGTGCTGTGTTAGAAGGAGCGAAGAAGCTGAGTCTGAGGCAGTTTCACGTGTCTTGCTCCCAGGTAAGAGCATCTAATCAATGTTTAATCTTGATGTATCTTTCCATATGAATAACATGGGATGAGGAATCTACAGGAACATGAAGGAGGTAGCAGGCCCACTTGGAGCCTCTCCCTCAGTCTTGTATAGCACTGGAAATCCGAAACCTGGGTATTAGCGTTCTAACATGATTTCCTGGGAAGCCAGATCTGTGTCATCAAGAACATCATTCTGCGTTCCAGTGGACATGATGATGAGAGTCAGCAGGGATTCTCTCCCAGCCTCCAGAGACAGACTGTGAGTCCTTTTCGGTGAGTACGTATTAGTCCCTGATTATACTGCCCTTGTAATTGGGGGGTCCATAATTACTTTGAGCAAGTTTTGAATATTAAATCTCTGAAGACTGAATTGGCCCGTCTTCTGGAAAATAAACACTTCAGATGTGTGTGCGTGTTTTATCTATTAACACTTCATTTGAGGATGGAGTAATTCTCTTGGCTGTCAGTACATGTACATTGCCTCTCATACATGTAATTGTAAAAACACTCTTACTTCACCTTATCCAACTATTTTCTACGCAGTTTCAAATATGTTCGTCTCAGTGAGAAGCAATCCAAAATCACATATGACTTCTGTATTGTGAAGTGCCACGAATCACCTAAGTCCAGGTTCTCAGGTTGGTACACATAGTCTTCTATAGTGTTGGATGTGATCAGGTTTAATTGTCACTCCTCACCATCCTGCAGCTTATGGGATAAACAATAAAAGAAGCTTCTATTCACCTCCAGTGAGAAGGAATAAAAATCAAACCAAAAAGAAGGAAAGAAGTGCTATGCCTTGATCACTGGTGCTGAATGCACAGCATGTACTGGTGAACAAGCCAGCAGGATGAAGTACAGAGACAGTGAGTCTCATGAGCGTTCTCTTTGTTGACCTGTTTACTTGGGTAGAGTAAATTGATTGGTCAGCCAACTGGACTGACTCAGATGCCGAGTTAGGGCCATCTTCAGCGAGGCACGAAGGGAGGGATTCCCTGCTGTGCAGGCCGTGGCGATGGTGGGCAGGGGGTTGGGAGGATGCATGTGAATGGCTTGACTTTAACATGTTAGTGCTCGCTTCAAGGACCGTCATAATGCTGAACAGTCAGAGGTCTCCACAGCAGGCCAAGCGCTTCTTTTGGATAACACAACTTCCGTAAATCATTAGCTTCTTAACAGTGTTATTTGAGGTCTATATCCAATGTCAAAAATCTTGTATTCTTAATTTATAAGTGGAATAATCATAATCCTCACGGCACCTCTGTTTTTGTTATCATTGTTTCTTTGTAGTTCTTGTTTTGTTTTTAGGAAAATCGATCACACTTTTTTTTTCCTGTACTGGAGATCAAACTCAAGGCCTTATGCGTGCACAGACAAGCACTCTACTACTGAGGCTTTTTTCCTGGCTTCACTGATGCTTAACTAAATATATTTTGCTTCTAACATAGTTGGGAGCCTTTCTTTAATCTTCCCTTGAGTCTCACCCTTGGCCCCGTGTACTTTTGCCCTAGAAAGAAGGTATCTTCATTTCTGTCTTTGAGTAAAGGAGAATAACATTTTTACTCTAGCAAATTGAGATCACTTTACCCGAGCTGGCCAGTTTAACTGTGAAACTTGGGAGAGGATCACTTGTGTTTGTGTTTTGTTTTGTTTTGTTTTGTTTCCAGTGCTGGGGATTGGGCTCAGGGGCCTTCACATTCAGCAACATCCCCAGCCCTTTTGATTTTTTGGTTTGAGACCAGGTCTTGCTAAGTTGCTCAGGCTAGAACTTGCAACCTTGCCTCAGCCTCCCAGAGTGCTGGGATTACAGGTGTATGTCCCCATGCCTGGCTTCCATTACATTTTTATTCCCAGTACTGAATTGCTAGGTATTCTGATGTTAGCACAAAGTTGATAATTCTTATCTTACTTTACCAACGTTGGTTAGAAGTAAAAGTCTCTGCTGAGGATCTCAGGGCCATCCACAGGTTTGATGGATTCACTAGGACTCACAGGAATCAGCACAGAGTTGTACTATCAGCTTAGATTTATTATAGGGAAAGGACAGAAGCACAATCAACGAAGAGGAAAAGTGCACGGAACTAAATCCAGAGGAAGCCTGACAAGCTTCCAGGGGCCCTATCCCAGTGAAGTCACACAAGACGCATTTAATTCCTCCGGCACTGATTGTGACAACGTGAAAGAAGAGTTGTCGACCAGACACACTTCCTTACAGTCCTGCGGCCCAGGGTTTTTAACGGGGGCTAGTACTGTCTAGTGAGTATCAATATTCCAGACTCCCAGGAGAAAAGTAGATGCTGAGCATAAATCACATTGTTTGCACAAGCAGTTTAGACACAGAAGCGCACACTTACCATTGGCGAATAGCCAGGACACTTCCTGTCAAGTTTCTAGATGAAAGCTAAGGGCCAGCCTCTCAGGCAGCCCTTTCTGAGGTGAGGCTGAGGCCTACTATGTAAATTATTTTCCATACACACATCTTCCTTCCTAACTCTAAGCACTCTGCTAAATTCTAGGACCATGTTTGTGACTGCTTTCATTAATGTCTACTGGAATGCCCCTGTAGAACCTCAGATTCAACATACTCAGAATTGAATGAATTATCTTCCCTAGAACTGCCTGTCACCTGCTTTTTCCTATCTATGCTAATGCCTTATTTGCCAGTTTAAGACAGGAAAACCTGATACCCTCCTTTGAGGGTAGGTCAGAGGGCGCTGGCTGCTCTGGGCTGGGTCCAAGGGCCAGAAGGAGCAGCAGAGCTACTTCCTGTTCATGACTGTGGGTGAAGGGTCAGAGGTCAAATACAAAATTATAACCAAGACACTGATAAGCCTCAAAGGAGGAGAACTGGATTTAAACAGGATATCAGAACAGGAGAGATTAGAGATGAGGGTAAAAGGTCAGGAGGAATTAGTCCAGTCAGATAGATAGGAGCATAATCTGGAAAAATATTGCAGAGTCAGTGGCTGCTTCCCATACCTGAGTTTGCTGGTTGATTTGTTTCATTTGATGAAGAGTCAAACACTGAAGGGAGAGCTAAGATGGAGATAAATAATAACTAAGACTTCTGCCTCCTCCTTCCTGTCCAGTTGACCGGCCCGTGTCCATTGCAGTCTTCCGCATTTTCATTTGCAGTGCCTTAGTGAGGGCTGTCATTATTTCTCCCATAGGTTCTTCTCAGTGTCTCTTAAATAGTCCCTCGTCCTTCAAATAACTCCAGTGTAATTGTTCCATAAGGCACATTTGTTAATTGTTTTTGTTTGTAAAATTTCTAATTGTTCCATAAGGCACAATTGTTCCATAAGGCACGTGTTTCTCCTTACTTGTGTCTATTAATTCCCCACTATTCTTAGAACAACACACTAGATTCTTCACATTTTGGACTCTGCCTACCTGTTCCAAATTCATTTCTACCATTTAGGGCCCTTCATGAGGACTTGCATCATACTTCTGAAGTTTTGCCTGTGCTCTTTCACTTCCTAAAGTGGCCTTTTCTCTCTTGCACTCCCGGTAATTCCTGCTTGTCCTTTCAGAGTCACCTGCGCTATCACTTGTGCAAACGCCTAATGCTCCTACCTCTAGGGCTGATTTACCAGAACGAGACACAGCTGACACAATGCCTGGAGCCCATCGTACTCTGAGGGGCCATGAAAATGCTTTCCTTTCTCTTACAGCATATACCAAAAGACAGTATAATCCAGCCTGGTGTATGTTTTTCACTGTACTGGTACATTTGTATAATTTCAATGAAAGCAAAAGCACTGAGGGTCATAGAAGTCAATGTGGCTCTGTGTCCCCATTTATGTGCTTCACCTTTATCTTGTCTTCTCCAAAGAACTCTGAACGCTTTGATTTTTGGCCCGTAGTGTGGGTCACTCAATATATATTAATGAGCAAATGCGTAGAAGTTTTAGAACTATATATATATATATATATATATATGTATATATAGGTAGATACCTGCATACAACTAGCCTATGCACTCAAATCTTGTAAGATTTTTTTTTCACTATAGAAAGAATACCATGTTCATGGCTTGAAGCAATGGGAGAAAAGCTCCCAGAGAAGCCCACAAAAATTTGCATAACCCACAAGGTTGTATAAATGCTATTCCAGTACAGAAAAAGCAGGCCAATCTAATAGTGCTGCAAGTTAACGGAAGAAGAATGAGATGAGGAAATGTTTATTTTCTTTCTTCCCCTCCTCCCTTTCTTTTTTCTCCCCTCCCCTTTCCTTTCCTCTCCCTCTCCCTCTCTCACTCTGTCTCTCTGTCAATCCCCAGACCTCATACTTGCCTACTCTACTAGTGAGCCGCACTTTCAGCCCCTGTAGGAATATTTTTAAAGTTTGTCCTGAGTGCAAATTCTTGAGACTGTGAAGACTGCCTTTCTCAAATTTCAGCTTGGCCGCTCTTCATCAACTTACTCCACACGCTGCCTGCCTGCCACTCGAATTATCCTAGGTTTTGAATCTGCCTTGGGCCTCCCTGCCTGGCAAATGGTGGCTTGGGTTGTATATTTTCTGCCTTGTCTTGTCCCTCACTGCCTATGCTTAATCTTTTTGCTAAGTTCCCAGCCAGCAGAGGAAGGGAAAAGGGCCTCCAGGCTGGGAAGAGCAGAGGAGGAGAGAAGCCTGCTGGGACCTCAGGAGTGCAGGCCAACACTTTGCAACTCAGTGCTTATGCATCTCACCATTCAGACTTTTTTTTTTGTAAAGGTAACGGGTTTAGAATGTTTGCTGTCTGTGATTGTTAGGTAGTAGAGCTGTTTGTGTCTCTGGAACTGATGTTTTAGCAGATACCTTCCAATTCAATGTCATATCACCATGGAGCTCTTTTTTTAATTAATTTTTTTAATTTTTT